CTTAGACTTACCCCGAACTATTTTTTTCTAATTAGCTACAAATATAAAGGGTTTATTGGTTAGGACAGGCTGCATATCTCTCCAAGGGAAAAAAAAAAAAAACTCAAAAAAACAAAAGCAAAAATTGTGTTGCTTTTCTGCAATTCCTTGATTCAGAACAGCTGGTAGTTCCCCTCCCTCCCCAAACCCCCAAATCCCGAAGAGCTGATACACAGATTAACACAGAAACAAGTTAAAGAAGGACTACTTTAAAGCAAGACCATGTTAAATCCATGTAGTGACTGCATCCAGCAGTCACTTTAAGGAGAAAGGAAAATGTGCGAATGCAGAGCTACAGCAGGTTATTGAAACTGGTCTGAAAAATAATGCATCTTTTAAACATTTTTTTAGTGGAGAAAGGTGGTCAAAGCTTCCATGGGGCAGTGAAAGCAGCACTAACGCCTCCAGCAGTCCCATCTACACAACCACATGGAGACAATGTGTCCTGTGACTCCCATCTTCCATGCTGGATTCATCCCCAAAACTCTGGCAACTCCCACATTAAAGGGACTGACACAGTCTTGCCTTTGTGTATGCAAGCCATAAAAGCATCATAAAATGAGGCAAAATTTTTTATGTCAATAACTAAGAAACAGATAAAAATAAAAAATAAGGCAAATAGAGATGTTCTGAGCCCAGAAGCTCAAAACACACATCCCCTCCTAACCAGGGGTTGATCACATTTGATAGCTGCTTCAAAAAACAACCCAAATGTCTGTTCTAGACTTTAAACACAAGGTTGTCTTGCACTAACAACCTCGGCAGTAAACAGAATTACAACAAATGACTAAGAAAGGGGAAAAAAAAAAACCACAAACTGCACAACTGTACAGATATAGAGAAAACATATTACAAATCCCCACGTCTGTGAAGAATAAGCCTGGCGTTCTAAAGTTTCTTTTGCTGTTTAAACCCTGCCAGAGGAATGATCCGAGGTTTGTGCAGGTAACTGAAACCCCTCCTGCAGTCTCCACCAGTTTAGTGATTAAAATGTAAAGTTTCTGCTGCACGTTTGTGTTTTCAGGGCAGAGGAAAGAAGGGCAGAAGAAAGTTTCTTTCTGGAGTTCTGGTGCTGTCTGAAGTCACAAATCCAAACCTGCCATAACCTTACAGAAAGCTGTGGTGTGGTATGGTCTCGAGTCTATTTTATCATCAGGAAGCAAAAGAAATCGATCTTTGCCGTTTATTAAGCAAACACCCCTGAGTAAAGAGGCTGGTATCCACTTTCTTCTTTCTTGCAAGTCAGCACACAGACACTCAGCATGCCAAAGAACTGGAAAAGAGAGAGTGCACAAGAGATTTAGTGCTGTGTTTGTTGTTTCAGTCACCAGACTCAACACCCCTATATTAGAGGACTCCATCATACTGAAAAAAACACTTAAGTGGCATTTTTGCATATCAATTTCCAGTAACAGTTCCAGCTCAACATTTTTCTCCCTGGTTTTTCCCATTAATTTATACGTCCACATTAATTCCTAGTTATCATTCAGTGAAAGCATTGAGACTATTCTGGACTTCAAATGAGTTCTGCAAAATATTTAGGCATGCCTTTGGACAAGGGCGTGGAGTGACAGCAAGAAGAGGAATGGCTTCCCAGTGCCAGAGGGCAGGGTTAGATGGGATACTGGGAAGGAATTCCTGGCTGTGCGGGTGGTGAGGCCCTGGCACAGGTTGTGTTGTGCTGTCCTGTCCCTGGAAGCGTTGAAGACCGGGTTGGATGGGGCTTGGAGCAACCTGGTCTAGTGGAAAGTGTTGGAACTAGATCTTCAAAGTCCCTTCCAACCCAAACCATTCTATGGCACTATGATATATGGTTCTATGGATTCTCCATTTGCCATCCTGAATCTCCTACTATATTTTTGGAACCCTACCCTCATTGTTAGGCAGATGAAATGGAGACAACTGGAAAAACAGGTGAGGAACAGAGGACTGAGTCTTACTTCAGAGCCAGAAAAAAGGCTGATGGGACATGGCAGAAGAAAAAGCCCTGAGATCAAAGGGCAGGCAGTACTATTTTCCATGAGGGGAGACAGAAACATTTACCTTTACAATGGCAAACCCCAGGATCACAAGCATGGCATAGCTGATAACACTCTGCAGCCCAGACTCCAGCTCCTCTGCACAGCCCTGCCAGGAAAGAGAGGTGAAAACATATTAAATTATGTTAATTCAGCTGGACTTTTTTCTTTCTTTTCCTCCCCAACCCCTTAAAGGAAGCAGGGCCTGTCTAACCAACCACTACAGACCCGGGGAACTCTGTTCTTGTCTTCCAGACCTGATGGCTTGAGGAGAAGCACTGACAAATCACAATCCACTGACATTTGCTGCTTCCTGATCTCCTCCAGCTCGGGTCACTTAAGGAAGTGCCCAAAACTCATAGACAGGAACACCAGCAATGGTATCTATAAAAGTCAACCTAGGGGCTTTGTCCCAGACTGAAAAACCTGGCATGGAATTCATGGAATCACAGAATGGTTTGGGTTGGAAGGGACCTTAAAGATCATCCTGTTCCAACCCCCTGCCATGTGCAGGGACACCTTCCACTAGCCCAGGTTGCTCCAAGCCCCGTCCAACCTGGCCTTGGACACTTCCAGGGATGGGGCAGCCACAGCTTCTCTGGACAACCTGTGCCAGTGTTTCAGCACACTCATTGTAAAAAACGTCATCCTTATATCTAATCTAAATTGATCCTCTTTTAGTTTAAAACCATCACCCTTTGTCCTTTCACAACAGGCCCTGCTAAAATGTTTGATCTCATCTTCTTTACAGGCACTGTCTAGGCATGGGAAGGGGCTCCAAGGCCTCCCTGGAGCCTTCTCTTCTTCAGGCTGAACACCCCCAGCTCTCCCAGCCTGCCTCCACCACAGAAGTGCTCCAGCCCTTGGAGCATCTTCATCCTCCACATTCAGCATGGTCGATCCTACACGAGTCTTTTTCCCTGGCCCGGATAGCTGTGGGCATATCCCTAAAGCCTGACATGCTTTCCTCCATGGTGAGAGTCACCATGGCCCAACAGTGACCCCGAGGCCCTCATCCTCACCCGGGTGTTGAGCTCCTGTGGTTGATCCAGATGCCCAGTGCAGTTCTTCACACCCTGCTGGCAGCAGCTCAGAGGGACGCTGTTGTTCCCAGTAGAATTAAACCACTGTGTGGTTGTCCAGTCACTGTAGTTCTTCACCCCACAGCAGTGAAGCTGCCAAACACAGGGCAGTTACAGGGATGTATGAATATATATATTACATTTACTCATATATATTACATATATATATGAAGGTTCATGTTGAGTTAAACCTCTCTTAGGCATAGTGGGCCAGAGGTGCCCTTCGTATGCAGCAGATTTACAAGCAGCAGTGCTTCAGGAAAACAATCACAA